GGGGGGGGGGGGGGGGGGGTAACATGTAATGGTCTATCCCTTCTCCTCTCTCTCCCCTTCCCCTCCAGCTTTTTAATAGCAAGTCCATCCTCTTGAACTTGGATATTTTTTTAAGAGTTCCAAACCTCCTCCTAAAATAATTCAATAGAAATAACCCTCAAGGGCCTTACTAGAGCATTAACAGTATTTGAAATTCACACACAGTAACAAATAATAATAATATACATGAAAAAAGTACTCAATTCTGATTCAAGGAAGGTCTTCCAGCACTTCCTCTGTGAATTTTTTCATGTTTATATTATTAATCAGTAATCATACAGTTTTTCTCATTCAATTGGGAATTAATTTGCACTTTTGAGTTTTTCAAAAACCTGAAATTGCACTCAACGAAGCGGCTTGTGCAATTTCAGCTTTTTGAAAAACACACTCGCGCAAATTAATTCCAAATTGAACTCGAAACCATATGATTACCTATACTAAACTCATTTTAAGTCGCATGATAAATTAAGGAGTGTGCATACTTATGTCCACTTGATGAGTTCACTTATATGATGAATTCCTGCCAGAAAAGGTGAATGATATCAATAATGTGGTGGGGATAATAATTACTGCAAATGAGTGAGATTTCATGTTTCTCATATACTTGTACTTCACATTCATAAAATTTACATCTATTTTCTTCCAGAATTTTATTCCACTGAATCAAATTTTTGAAATAAAACAAAATCAATGCCTTCATTTTTTAAAAAAAAATGCCATTTAGAAACATCCAGTGAAGTGTACTCTGTTTAGGGACATTGTTTGTGTACTTGTTTTAATATGTATATTTTTTTACGTCAGGTGATGTTGTTTCTTTTTCCTTTTGAACTTAATTGAAGATGTGACATTTGGAGAAGGTTTTATTTCACTAAGAATTTGCATGCCACCCTAAACATTGCATAGGGCTTAGTCAAAGTGCTGTTTTAATTGGAACGTATCCCTTGATTCTGAATTTCTTTGTGACAATGAACATATTTGACAGATTTTCTAAAAATCTACTTTGGGAAAAATTGAAAAATAAACACTGCCACAGGAAGTTTTCATTTGAATTATCACATGTTAGGAGTCAATAGTAAATTAAATTTTGACTCTTGAAAGGATAAGCTTAGCCTCTAGAATAACATCAAGTTCTTCTTACAGCATTTTAACCAAAACAACAAAACCTTTAGAACTTGATTATGACAGGAATAAATGAAATTGTTTTGCTGAACCAGTCAAGAAAATGAAGCAGATACTACATGTTTACTAATCAGATTAAGAAATGCAAATTCTAAAAGTAGAGCATGCAAGGAAGAAACAGCAACAAGACATTAGAGGATAAAGTACGATAAAATGAAAAAAAAATGATTATGCTTAGAGGCAAGTGTTGTAACTAAAGATCAAGTGTTTCCCTTTGGTTTTGCAATCATGCTTCTCGATATAAAGCATATTTATCAAAAAATATGGGTTTCCAGTATAATTATTGTTTATGACTTATGCAATATTCCTTTTTTATAAGTGCTACATAATGAAACAATGTTACCCTGAAATGATTTACTGTAGCTGAAATTTTGAAAGTGAAAAGTTTGTTAGTCATTGAAACAAACCAGAAGGGAAGACAACAAAAACTTATTTTTTCAAGGTTACTATTTTTTATTTCCTCTTTTGTTTGGTTTCTTCTGTAAATGCTTGGGCAATAAAATTTTAATCTAATTTTGATGAACAAAAATAAGAACTCTGAACTGGGTATCTATAACACAGTTTTTTTTTTTGGTTTTTGTTTTTACTCCCCAAAATAATCAGTTGAATAAAATTACACTTCTTTGTATATGGGTATATTTTGAACTCACTATGCAAACAACTCCTAGTTCGCTTGGTAACTCAGTCTCTAGAGCACTGCTGTGGTACCAAAAAGGTTATGAGTTTGAACCCCTTACAAGCTAGTGTTTTTTTTTTGTTTTGTTTTTGTTTTTGTTGTTGTTGTTTTTTTCCACACTTAACATTCACAACTACCTAAATTGTACAATTAACTGGTGATGATCTCTCTTGTTGTAAAATCTTTTTCCATCAGTTACAATACACAAGTTCTAATTTATTTACTTGATAAAACTGGAAGAGGTTTGTCAAGAATTGAAAGATGTGAAATTGCTTTTGTTTTGAAGGTTAACAGGGGGTTAGGTTAATGTTACATGAGGCCCTGTCTTCCCTTTTCTGAAAACAAAATGGAACTTTACATTTGCAGATAGTCTATGAATTCTTCCTTCGGTTCTTGGAGTCTGCAGAGTTTCAACCCAGTGTTGCCAAGAAACACATCGATCAGAAGTTTGTTTTACAGGTAAAAACTGGTTCGATGACGCCATTTTACTGGGACATAGCATAAACTGAAACAAAGTTTCTTTCTTATCATTAGTTTAGGTTAAAACTGGGCTTTTATTTCCTCTGGCGATTAAGGTACCATCAATTGAAGTTAAAATACAACTCTTGTTACAACTTTCAGTGTCACAAACACTGAAGTTGAATCCCAAATCATGGTTACTATGACAATATTAGTACATCTCTGTTGTCCACCAACATGACGGCGTGAAAATAATGTAAAGATCTGGAACTTTCTTTGGTTATTTGGGCCACTGATCATCTGTTCTGGACAACAATCATTTGGAATTAACACTTTACCTATTACTTTAACAATGCTTGAGGGTAACTTTTAGTCCACTTGCAAAGTTTTGCTAGCAAGATTTTTCCCACTAGCAAACTGGTGAGACCACTAGCAAGTTCTTTCCAAATGTTTGGGAGACATGGATGATTCTAACTCACAAACGTTTGCTAGTGGATATTTTTCTCACCCGCAGATTATCAAAAATCACTTGCATTTTGCAAGTTTGCGAGCGTTAATTTTGAGCCCTGCTTTAACTTCTCAAATGGCTAAAAATCATAAGATAAATATACATTGTTTTTAGAACTTGATAATGTCACATGAAAATGATTTATTAGTATTTGATGTGGTGTCTTTAACGTTGCTCTTGCAGCTTCTGGAACTTTTTGATAGTGAAGATCCTCGTGAGAGAGACTTCCTCAAGACAGTCCTTCACAGGATATATGGAAAGTTCCTTGGACTTAGGGCTTACATTCGAAAACACATCAATCACATATTTTTAAAGTATGTGCATCCTATTTGTTACTATTTTATGGTAATATTTTCCCACCCTTTTCACTCCCTAAAGTGATGGATGTGTAAATTCTCCTCACAGTATCAATACCTTTTCAAGCAGATGGGTGATAAGAATAAAGAAAGCCATCCGCTTAAAAATAAAAAAAAAATCAATCAATAAAATCAACTTAAAATATATTTTGAGCAAATTCCCAGAATTAAGTTCAGAATTTGGAATTCAGATCTTGGGAGTGAAAGGATTAAGTTCAATAGACCTCTTTAGCTTGGGCAGTTTGTTTTCCCATTGCAGACCACGTGATGATACTCTTGAGGATTCTTGCTTTCAAATTCTTAAATAGTTGCATGTATATGAATGAGTAATTTTAAGATGGTTGACGCAAAATTCTCTACAGAACATCACATGGTCTACAATGGGGAAACAAAGTGCCTAAGCTAAAGAGGTCTATTTTTACCATGTTGGTGTACAGTGTAGTTATTTGAGAGGTTGAGATTCAAAGAATTATGAATGAACTAGATTTTCAGTATATGCTCAGTTCCCACCTTGATGTAACTACTCCCTTAGCTTGTCCTATTTTTTCATTTTTTATGCGAGTTATTTTTCTTTGAGTGCAAGCGAAGTATTTTCATCTTTCCCTAAGCGATGACTTTGGTTACAAGATTTTGCCAGTACTTAGTGAAGAAGGCTGTGTGTGTTAACATTGTTAATTTGGTAGGAAAGAGAAAACAGCTGTCAACATTTTACTAGGAGTTTTAGCAAAAAGAAAGTTTTTACATTTGTGTATTGACACACCCTTAATAAAGCAAGAAACTAGTTTTCAAAGTGTACGTTTGTCCATTCTTATGCAATCAAAAATGATGCAACTGTCCTCAAGCAATTCCACTACGTCAATAATAAATTATGTTCATCACCAAGATTTAGAGTTGTTTTTTCCTGTTCAATGAATCCCATAATGTGTACTCCTCTCTCTACTTGTAAGAGTCTTAGTTGTCGTTTTGAACTTGCTGAGGTGTTATCCTATGTCACAGATTCGTTTATGAGACAGAGCACTTCAATGGGGTTGGAGAACTACTAGAAATCTTAGGAAGGTGAGTGTGACTGTTTTTTTTCTTTTTTGGCTTTATTTTTGGCACAAAACTCTTGTGCTTTTCTAATTCTTACTCCTAATTCCAGGACCAATTCAGTCACTTGGACCTGTGTAGTGGATAGTTCTTAGAGTGACCTTGCCCAAATCTTTCTGCACTTAAAACTAATTTGTGTTCCTTGGAAACCTAACTTTAACTGCAAGGCTGACCCTGACCATGACTGATAAGGCTTACACCACAAAGCACATTAGGAAATGTTAAGTTTCCTTAAGCACCCTAGTGTCTTCCAACTAAAACAATGTCATAACTTTTTGTACCTATAATTTGAAGAGCCAGTGGTATTTCAAGTAAGAAAGGTTCCTCATATTCTAAATGTTTTACCCCATGGAGAAGCCAAGATTTAAAGGGGCTCAGTCATGGTATTTTGAGTTATTTTGGCCACATACAAAATTACCTTTAAATGGTAGGAAACCTGAAAATAACAGTTTAATAAGATAGAAAAACACCAAAGAGATAGTGATAAACCATAAAGGAACAAGGATGGCTAAGGATGGAGAAGGTTAACACGGATTACAAACGATGAATTTGAAAAATTGAGGGTAAAGTTTTCAACATGCGCAAACAGTGACTGAGCTCCTTTAAAATGAGTTTTCATTTGTTAGATAATCACTGTGTTTCTGTTTCAGTATCATCAATGGATTTGCTCTTCCACTGAAGACTGAACACAAGATGTTCTTAAACCGAGTTTTAATTCCTCTTCACAAGGTGAAGTGCCTGGGCCTGTACCATGCACAGGTAAGAATGGGAGACAAAATGGAGGCTATTCTGTGATAAACACACGAAATGACCTTTCCATTTTGAAATAACCTATGGCCAGCATCACTAAATAAATACACTGTGTCAAGCCATTCCCTTAGGGGGAGCAGTGCTCCCATGACTGACAATATCTTCAATCCAGCCTTGAGGGGCAGCCTGCACCAATTACAAGGTTCTTTATAATTCACCAATAGAGTGGTAAAAAACTGGTTTTCATTTGAGTTTTGAAAACTAATTGGTTTTGCATCAACTATGCTACACAATTGGTTTAAGAAACTCGCGCCACTTTTTCATCCAATCAGAAGTAAAACCAAAACCAATTGTGACTCGCTCGCACACGTTTCCCGCGCTTTGCGTCAGCTCCATGTACTTACTTCGAGTTTTGATTGGTTCACTGGATTCTTTGTGTCCTTTGTGATTGGCCAGAGTGATTACTTTGGCTTTGATTTTTTGACATTCAACTGAAAACTGCTCTAAAACGAAGGTAACCAACACAAACAATACACCTAGCCCTAAGAACAAAAGCCTTTCAGATTAACAAGAATGAATCAAAATAGAGGTTTTAAAGAGGTGTTGGTCAGTTGAGCCATGAGTCATCCTCACCTTCTGTAGGCGGACAACTCCTTTAAGGTGGCTCCCTATAGTTTTACGATCGCACGCGCATTTAGGGCGGAAGCTCAAGTAATCTGCGCGCTCAAACGAAAACATCAGTGTTTTTGGATATTTTATTATGTCAACATGAGCACAAAAAGCAAAACTGACAGTGAATTTTCTTGCGTTTCCTTTGGTGAAATTCCGTAAGATGCAGACTGGTAAAAAAATACCTTACTTTAGATGGAGCTCGTTTTTTAGGGAAATCTATCAGACTAGTTTTTCCGCAGCACTAAAAGACAGAAATTTTCAAAAATCTAAACAACTGCCTTTACAAACCCAATTTTTTTCGTGTTTCAAATTCGTATCCTGCCGGGTTTAATGTACTGTTAAAAATTTGGAAGATTTCACCTTCAGGAAATTCAAGAAAATCACAAATAAAGCCATAAAAACGGTTAAAAACGCAGTTGTTTGGGCATTTACAATTCAAGATTAAAAGCCAAAATTTTAGCAGAGATGATAGTAAATCAATATATCATCATTACTTATTACATCTAATATGTTTGAGAGGACTGGGTGTTAAAACGAATGCAAAAACAGCATTCAAAACATAACACTAGCGCGCCGAACGCGATAAATCATTACCTTATCGAGCCACCTTAAAGGAGCTCAGTCACGGTATTTTGAGTTATTTTGGCCAGATACAAAATTACCTTTAAATGGTAGGAAACCTGAAAATAACAGTTTAATAAGATAGAAAAACGCCAAAGAGATAGTGATAAACCATAAAGGAACACGGATGGCTAAGAATGGAGAAGATTTACAGGGATTACAAACGACGAATTTGAGAAATTGAGGCTAGACTTTTCAAGATTCACAAACCGCGACTGAGCTCCTTTAAACAGGCACTTGATCATGATCCAAGTCACATATAAACATTATGATTCATAACTTCCCATAATAAGCCTATCACACAAGCAGAGACTTTCCTCTGGTCCAAATGGATGTCCACCTACAACAGCTTTAACTTTAACTACTGAGTAATGAAAGCTAGGAAACCCTGTAGAAGATAAATCTAAATATATCTTTTTCAACATTTCTTTTCTTTCGTTGTCTTGCAGTTGGCATATTGTGTCGTTCAGTTCTTGGAAAAGGATGCCACACTTACAGAAAATGTGAGTTTTCTATTATTCTGTTGAAATTTTGTGATGAACATAAGAAATATGCACTATTCCAAGAAAACTGAATGGAATGTAAATTTCCAGGGAGATCTGAGTTTCCCAAAATTTGGGAACACCTTGCAAAGTGGTCTTCTGGCTGGTCTGTTGAACTCCAAGTTTCAAACCTTGCGGGCGTTAGAATGTGTTTTGTTCTTGAGCAAGGCACTTATTTTCACAATGTGAATTGTTCGGGCATACTGATTCTTTTGTGTTATATTTCTTTTCTTTTGGAGGGGAGGTGGGTGGGAAGGGTAAAGTCGGTAACCTGCGTTGGAGTGGTACCTAATCTAAGGGGGGTAGCAAGACTTCTTTGTTGCATCATATTACAAAAGAACAAAGTTAGATGCGATCATGCCAGCATCATTGAGCTGTCTGGTTCGACTGGGAGTAGACTTCACTTGTGTCTTTCTCGTGAAACCTGATTGTTGTTGTTTTAGGTCGTTTTAGGCTTACTAAAATACTGGCCAAAAACAAGCAGTCAAAAAGAGGTAAGTAATACGGTTATCCCGAAGATTTCGTTTTCAGTTTGTGGATCTTTCACTTTGTACCTCCTTTGTTTAGTTACTCACTTTCTTGAAATCATTTCCAGAAAAGATAATTCATTAGAAGCTAAAAATTTACGAGTTTTAAAAGTGTCCACACCCTGCAGAATTTGCGTTGTGAATTCATTTGAGGACCACGCCCCAAAATATATTACCTCGAGAATTTTTTGTGTTTGTTGCGCCTGACAAGACAACGTATCCAAACTGGCTTTATTTTCATGGTTTTGCTAAAATTGCTTTCAGCTTTGAACTGCAAGGTGACCAATTATTTAATATGGCTTCTCGCCTGTTCCTTCGCGTTCACAATGGCACACTTTGTTTTACAGGTGATGTTCCTAGGTGAAATAGAAGAAATTCTAGATGTAATAGATCCCGCTCAGTTTCAAAAAGTTATGGTACCGCTCTTCAAAAATATCGCTCGATGTGTATCAAGCCCGCATTTCCAGGTGAGTTTGAAACATTATTTGTAAGTTTGCTGTTTTTGCTGAAGGGAGAAAAAGGGGAGTGCCCTTGGCCGGGGAGAATTGGGACAGAACTTTCCCCAGGACTCTCGCGGCCACCTCAAAGTCAGCGAGATGATTTTAAATTGGGCCTATTTTTTTCTTTCCTTTTGTTAGGTCGCTGAGAGAGCGCTTTACTTCTGGAATAACGAATACATCATGAGCCTAATCGAAGAAAACTCGAACTCCATCTTACCCATCATGTTTTCAAGTTTATATAGGATATCCAAGGACCACTGGAACCAGTAAGTACCTGAACTTGTAGAAATCGAGCCTGCGTAGCAAGCGTTTCACAGGAAAGTGTGGGTGAGCAAAGTCTGGTCGTGCAAAAATTGGAGCGAGAGCAAAAACTCGACCGGGGTGTTTGCTCTCGCCCCAATTTTCGCGCGGCCAGAATGGGGGAAAAAAAGCTGTTCGTTCGTAGGGAAACGCTTGCTACGCAGGCTAGGAGAAATCCTGGTCTTTTCGTCGACGGTTTTTGGGGTCGTCTTTAAATACTTCGAGAAGAACCAGATAACGGCTGCGAAGGAGTTTGTTTGGCAAACAACAACGTCGATAAACAATTAGGAGGTATAATGAACAGAACAATGGCTGAGTGTGTGATATTGGCGTGTTTTGTTGCCGTTAACCAGAAAGGAAAATTTTTTAATCTTCTGTTTGGAATTTATCGCGGTCCTACATATTCTGTTTGGCGTTGCTCGGATAATGATAGACAAATTGAAAGAATCCAAATGAAAAAAAACCAGGCATTTCTCTTACGCAACAAAAAGTGACTTAAATTTGACAGAACTCGATGTAAAAACATGTGATTGGTGGGAAGTTTTGAAGTAAAACATGTAAACCAAATCGTGATTCGAGAGAAATCACGTGACCTAAGTCACAGCCAATTACTATCGTGGTTAGAAGTGAAATAAGCCAATCAGTTCGGTTTAAAAACCTGTATCGTACATTATAGAAAACGAGGGGAAAATGTAGACCAAACCACGCTTGGTTTTGGTGTTGCACCAGCTGGCAAAGAAGGCGTCATGTTCGTGAAATTGAACCCACTGGTAATACTCAAAATAAGATTTTACTTCGGGTATACTTTAATTTGAATTTTTGTTCACATGGGAGCAGTCAATTTGTTCTGGTAGTTCGTCTGGTGTGTGGGAGTAAGGATATTCCTAATGACGAGAGAACCGGTTTTATATAAGAAACACGTTTTGTGAAGCTCTTTGCCGACCTTGCGTGTTACTTAACAAATCAATGGTCATTTTGCGTAAGAGTATCCTATGCATGTTGAGATCATGTGCATCGTATTATCTGTCTGTTGGTGGAGATGCTTTTACCCCCGGGCTCCCCCCGATCAGTCATTGTCTTCTTTTCTTTCTGTAAGGATTAAAAAACTAAACATATCGCGCTAAGACGCTTTTCAATCAGAACTGTGGTCTGGTAATCCTAGGATTATCGATTTGTAAGACGATTAGGAGAAGAGAATTAGGAACAATTTAGACAGTTATTGTCTTCGAAACTCCTCAGTGGGTGTTAACTGTGCAGCTTTGAAATGATCGAAATCCGTTTCGTTTGTTGTTATTTTTACTTCTGCTCTTTTGGTTTTCTTTCTTCCGCCTTTCTGGTTGGGCGTAATCTCACTCGGTCAGTTCAATCGTTTCTGCGTTATTTGTGTGCTTTTGTTGGATCAGCGTAGTTTAGTGCGTGCCCTTAATCTGTCTAGCAGCAAATCTGTGATAATCCTGTAGACTCCAGTCTCCAGACATCACGGCGCACTTGTTCCATTGTCGCCCCGTTGCACCCACGACAGAAGACGAGCCAAGCGGTGCTGAACTTTGAAGCTCCCGCGATTCACCTGATAAGTTTGCACGCCAGAATTTGTTTTCCTCTCTGATAACAAGCGTTATTCTAATGGGTTGTTCAGAGATTAGAGGAACAGGAGTGGAGCATTTAAAGAAGACTGCTTTAATCTTGATCGACTTTTTTTTTTTGAATTACCGCTAATCGGCTTTCAAACAACCAAGGCGTAATCACGTTTTCTACTCGTGTTAATCGTCTTTCCCGCCCTCCACAAATTCTGCGGCGAAGCCCACGAAACCATTAAGCTTACCGTAGACTTTCGCGTGTATCCCTAGGTTTAAAAAGAATTGTCAGCGCACTGTTTTAAAATCGGTCGCCGAGTAGAACCCCGCCATCCCGTTGATGGGGTCACTTTACCCTCTCCGACTCCCGAACAAAAGCTCAGTCAATAATAATAAGAATAATAATCGATATTTAAACAGGGTGACCCCTTCAGTCGCAGGACTGGTATCAACGGGGGCCCTGTATAACGTAAAATAAAAAGAGCATGTATAAATAATATATATCTATAAAAAACTAACTACTTTAACAGATACGCTAAAATGTTTAAAAAATTAAAAAGCTTAAAAAGGTAATAGCGTTCTCATAAAAATTGGATATCGAATTGAAAATGTTCTATAAAAATAACCTAAGAAAAAAAATCGGAGATAGCCTTGAAACGTTCCTTAGGTGGCAAAATCTTTATGTTCGTTGGAAGGCTATTAAACGTGCATTTTCTTAGTTAAAAGAACCCCTTTATTAATGTGGCCACTCCGTTAATACGGCCAGATTTTTGTGGCCCGTTGGTGACCGGATTAACGAGGTTCCACTGAATGTAAAGTTTTTAAAATGAACTATCCGACAAAAATCGTGCCTTGAAGGTCTACGGTAACCCAAAGCTTTCTGTTAGCATTGATAAAATTTTTCGGTCTCTTTAGTAACAACAATTAACGTCCATAGACTGGCATTGCGTTCTTACGTTGTTCTTGTGTCTGCGTTTGGAAAATCTTCGTATGTGAGGCCCTTTTGGGGTTTTCGAAATACAGATAGTCAGGTAAAATATTCACGGGATACAGGATGTTTGGGGAGTGGAAATTAATGGGACATGGGATATTTAGATCATTTATAACGGGACATCGAGTAGGAAAATCGTTAATTTTGCAATAGGCCATTTCCGAGTGACCTTGTGTCTCTGTTTCAAAACGAGTCTTCGTGCGAAACCTTCCTTATGAGAATAAGTTTGATTTGCATGAAAGTTAACCTGTAGACGGAATGAATGGTTTAGCACGAAGACAGGGTTTTGACACAAAGGCAAAAGGCAACTCGGAAATGGTAGGCCAAAAATTAACGGGATGTGGGATACTAAGACCCACTTTCCCCCCCCCCTCTCCCCCAATGGGGCCTCGTATGTCAATACTTTCCGGGTCTCGGTTTTTACCTAATCAGAAATCCGGCAAAAACTCCATTAGTCCCCTTTGTTTGAAACTCCATTTCGTAATTACTCCTCTCCTTATTGTCTGAAGATTTCTAACCGTTATTCCAGAAAATGAGTGGCCGGTAAAGTGCTTGGATTCTTTGCTAAACACGTTGAATTCTGGTTATAAACTCATCAAAAGAATTCTTTTTGGATGGGAATGTTCCCAGGGCAACATATCAGATTTTACCGTGTTTATCTTTTCCCAAGCACCGTGAAATACAACAACGTTAAATGCAATTAACTTGGCGCTTGTTTGTATTCATGTCTGGCTGCGATCAGTCGTGTTTCAGCCTGAGTTTTCGTGCGAGTTTTCATCAAGCCTTTTTTATCCATCATTATTTGTTGTCACCATCAATCCGGTTTTATAGTACAATACTAACTGACCTGTCTTCGCTTTCAGGACCATCGTAGCGCTCGTCTATAATGTTTTGAAGACCTTTATGGAAATGAACTCGAAACTGTTTGACGAACTAACGTCTTCGTACAAAAGCGATAGACAAAAGTGAGTGTACTTTTTTTGTTAGGTTGATTTAGAACGTTCTTTTCCGATGCGGAAGGAATGAAACAGTTTTTGTAGTAAATGAACTACTAAAAACAATTTTGTTTATGACATATATTACATTGCAGTGAATCATTTAACTAGTTCTTGGATTCACTCCTGGAAATGTTGGATTGGTTTTGAAATGAGGGCACAATTTGAAGGTGGATGCAAAAGAATTCGATTTTGTTGAGTACTGGAAAGTTCTCAGCACCTTCACCAGTTACTTTTTACTTTCGGATGTCATCGGACCTTTGTCTTGCTTGTGGTAACTATAAATTGTTCGCCTTTTCTTTTCAGAGAAAAGAAAAAGGAGAAAGAAAGAGAAGAGCTGTGGAAACAACTCGAAAAGTTGGAAATAGAAACGAGAAATAAGTCAACTTGCTCGGCGTCGAATCCCGCGGGCTCGAACCCGAATCCCTCTACCAGTTCGGGAGCCGGGACAGCGACTAAGAATGCCAAGAGCTGAACTCCCGAGCGCCGCCCGCGGTTGCTGTTTTGTCCAGACCTCCTCCGACATTTTGATTAGTGTGAAAAGTGATCCAAGTGACACTCCGTTGACCAGTGACTGAAAGAAATTATTAATTTCTAATTTGAGGAAGTTGAGCTTTGACTGACCACACCTTCGAAAAGCACGAAAGAATTTATTAATTTAAGATGTCGTATATTGTTCAGACTCGAGGGTTGTTACATACCCTTGTCTTAAGTTACTCACTGCGCGCGGAGGGAGGTGGTAAAAGTGACGCCGAAGCGCCGTTTTATTGTGTATTTTGTTTAATGTGGTCGTCCGGCGCACGGCGCGCTCGATTCCGTCTTGATTACGGTGTCGGTGGTCATTTGTTGCCTTTCGTCGTCCGGTAGTACAGTGACATTGCCTTACTATAAATGTGTGTATTACTGGCGTAGAGCGGTCATTGTCGACCAATACTCGCTTGAGACGAAACGGATACGTTAAGGCCTGGATGATATTGAAGTTTAGAAAAAAAAAATATACTTGTAATCAAATTCTGTAGATAGCCCTTCCCTAACAGGAAACCTAGCCCGCAGAACAGTGTTGTGGCGTCAATTCAACCAAGATGGTCGTCGCAAGGACAAAACAGGTTCTACCCAATAATGTATTACGATACCAATTTACCACAAAAAGCGCAGAAAACGAAACCCATTGAAAGGAGATTCATTTCTAAATTCAGCGCAGAACTACCCTATGGCCGTAGTGAAACCACGAACATTGCTTTGCAGACGAGGTTTCCCAGTAAATTTTGCAGCCCTATTTCTCTAGCAATTTTCCTTGTATGTAACTTTTTACTCTGATGTCGCATTTCTTTACTACTTTGAAGTACAGTCTCTGTAAGAGACGCGCGATTAACTGAGTTGAAGGTATTTTTCACGTGATGAGGGAAAGACCAATAAACAGCATAAGATTCCTCAGGTTCTGTTTCTTTCTACAAGTTAGGCGAACCGTTCAGTCAGCGTGAGTAAAAATACCTGCGTAGAGGAGTCTGGGGAAGAAAGGTGTTCCCCTTGTCCGTGAAAAGATGTCTGTGTTTCTGGACCCTGGACAGGAAATCGGGCGTTAGAAAGAGGTAGATTCTCGAGCTAATTTTCTACCAACAATGAACGTTCTTACTGGTAGAGTTTGGGGGTGAAAAGACCATTTCCGTATTCTCGGTATTGGACTGGAACTAGCTTGCAACTGAGGCTATTGCGGGGAGTGTTTTCAAATGCAAACGACATTTAAAATCTCTTCAATGCTATTCCCCGTTTGAGCCTCCATTGGAAGCTAGTTGCAGTCTAATTTTACGTGGCAAAACCCCTTTTGCGCCTGTTCCATGTTCCTATGGTCCTGCCCGGGTGGAAGGTGAACGTGACTGTAACCCAAGGCAAACCCATTCACTAGCTTTGTTAATAGTTAACAGAGAAACGCTTGCAACAAAGTTCAACCAATCAGAACAAACATGCCTTTCCTTTTAACCAATCGGGAGCCAAAGCAAACCCAGTCGTGACTTATCTGACGCACATTTTCCCGCGTTTGGCGCCGATTGCATGATTCTTCCTTGAATGCCGTTTGGTTTGATTGCAATACTACTGCAGTGACAACCGACTTGCGTTACGTTTTCTTGATCGCGGAACTGTTCAGCTTCATTTAAAGTGTCTATACGGCCAACAGGGTTTTTGTGATTTTGGTATTTCTACAACATCTGAAAATGTATTCACACCAAAAAAAAAAATAATAATAATAATAATAATTCCTGCGCTTTTTTTGCCATGAAATCAAGCTTTAAATTTCCCGCCTCGACCTCGCCCAATGAAGTTAACCGCGTAATGAAAGATTGGCGACGAATGACGTCACTTCAAGAACATCTTAAAGCTTCATATTTTTATTTTGCTTGATTGACGACCGCATTGTTTGACCAACTTCGGTTTGTTTGCTTTTTGTCGACGAAAACTCCTAACCACTACTGAAACAACAGTGACCTGAACTAGCAGGATTTAGAAATTCCTGACTTGACGTCACGACCCATTCAGGAACTCAGACTCTTTTTTTGCACTGTTTCACGGTCAACTTCATTGGGCGTGGTTGAAGCGGGAACTTTAAAGTTAGATCTTTGGGCGTTAAAATGTCGGAATCTAATTTTTTTTGTTTTCTTAGAATACCTTTTTACACATTATAGAGATACCAAAACAGCAAAAAGACCCCGTTGGCCATATAGACACTTAAAAAAGAAATTTGTATTGATGGAAATTTTTGAAAGAGCAGAAGGTGGTAGTGAATTTAGTGGTAAATTCAGAAATCGGATCAAACTGTTTTGGCGCTGTTTTTCGGATGATTTGGCCTGGGTTTTCTCTTGAGCATTTCACGCTAGTTATTTTGAAAGCGTTCAGGTTTTTGTTTGGTTCGTTTTTACCCAGTTTCATTCACACCTATGAAATGTAATAAGTGATGATGAGTCACCTCTGTTAACTTAGCTAACAACTTTTTGTCTTGATTTAAAATCTCCCAAACGAATGAGTTCAGTGTTTATGTGGCCTTGATTGTGATGCTCTTGAATTGCCTTTGGTGATCTTCAAGGAAAACGATTTTCAAGTAAGGTAGAATAATTGTTAAATGTACCAAATTTTACAGAATTTTACCCAAGAAAACAGAGGAAACACCTTGTCAGGTTTGCTTTTTTTACGATCATGCTGACGTCAAAAAATATCGGAAAAGTCTGCTGTTTTCCCTTGAGCGCGCTCAGATTACTAAAGCTTTCGATCTCAGTGCGCTTTGTGTGTCGAGAATGGAGGTTCGCAGTAAAAGGTATTTATAAAGAAGAGAACTATTGATTACAGAAATAATACGATGAAATATAAAACTATAAAACAAAAAATATTTTAAAGCCAGATCCGTATTTTAAAACTGTTAAATTTACGTGGCATTTTCTAATTGTTCTTTTAAAAGCGTCAATATCTAAAGTCAATATTTCTTAGGGCATGGAATACTAAAACATGGGACATTAAAACAGAGTTTTTGTCTGAGAATGTAACTCGTCTCACGTTTAACAAATAAATCTTAAAGAGGGTTACGTGCATGTGTAGCACCATAAAAACGGTTGTGGGCTGAAAACAATAACCGCTGACAACAGGTGTGCCTAAGAGGTAATCAGTCTACAGTGTTTAAAACTTCTTCCGTTGGTTAACATCAAACCAGGCGATAAATAATCTTTACTGCTCTTACATGAATCCGTTCCAATATAGTCAAAGAGGGTCTTATGAACCCCGTAATGATTAGGCCATAAGAAATAGATGTTAAAATGACCTTGTAATAGAAATCTAACTGAATGTTAATCGGTTAACCAGTTGTTAACGAACTCGACCATTGAACCTTCATTTAACGCCGAAGTCTCCACAATCAGCGAACTTACCAGCTTACCAAGGGCAAGAAACCAAAAGGTCAATCTCGAGCCTACGTTGTATAGTCTTCGGCTCGACCCAAACGCTGACCGAGCCGGAGAGACTGGGCTCCAGACCGTGTTGTCATTTCAATGACGTCATCACGTTTGGCGCCAAATCAAATGGGCGTGGAAGAAAACGCCTGGGTACTAGCCTGTGCAAACCGGTGGCCGGGTCTCTCCCGGCGCCCACCCGTGCAAACCTGGCTGAAGTTCAAGGCAGTTGTACTGTAATACCGGTCATCTGTGAACGCTTCGATGCACTGTGTCTACCGTGGAATCACGGAGCGATCAGTGTTAAATTTGTCACTGTGACACTAAACAAAGCCATTTTCAATGCACGACGGAAGCCAGTTTGCTGTGCGATACTGACTGGAACAGAAGTGTTGTGATGAAGTCTTCGCTGAACTGTTCAAGGTCTGTATGGAATAACTGGATTTTAAGTACTAGGAGTTTTGAGTCTTTCTCATCACGCTATGCCACTCGGATCTGTTGCGAAATCAACTACGGGTGTCCCTCGTTTTGAGATCCTCTGAAAGCTAACAGAGTTAGCCAGAGTTGTTCAGGAACTTACGCGTAAAAAATCACGTTGTCGGTATAAGTATATGTTGCATTTTTGCCTGGGTTTTACAATGTTAATTTGGAGTAAAGGCCTGAACTGGACGGCGGGACAGGTATTAGCCTATTGTTTCAGAATTGCAAGACTACTGCGTTCGTTGGTTCTCTCCGGAATTTTTATAGGAATTTTTATAGGAATTTCACTCCATTATTTGATGCAACTGACTATCAAAGCTGCCCAGTTGTTCCTGTCCGGCGCTAAAACGGCACCGCGCCTGTGACAGATCCAGCAAACTGAGTTAGTTTACTGGAACCCTTTTCTTCTTCGTTAGTTGTTAATAATTCATCGTTCCGCGCTTCAAGTTCCTTTTCTCCGACAGTTCCCCAAGAAAATTCCCATTCTTTCACTTAAGTTGTGAAAACTTGCAAACTTTGGAGATAAATGCGTGAAAATTATCTGTCTGTTGTGTTATGGGAGGAGAAAAAGCGTGCAATCTTGTTCTTGCAGTTCTGGCCCCTCGCGTATTCATTTAGCAAACAGTCTGCCTGCACCAGTTAGTACTGGTGTACACTCACACAAGAACCACAGAATTGTCCATTGCACCAGAATCAAACACTTTCTCTTTTAATTTTAAAATCTGTGTGAAGTCGCAGCAGCTTCACAGTAGACCAAAAACTGGACAGCAATAAACCTTGCTCGTTGAAAACCGAATTTATAAACCTAAACAGTGGCAGAAACAAAAGACTTGATCGCAGCGAGTCCGGCATTGCTTAAGTCAATCGTGTTCTAATTTACGCACAGATTATTTGTTTTTCTATGCTCCTTTTTGGGGTGTGCGGTGTATAGTAAGTCGTTACAGTCAATAGAGTTAAAGTTGACTGTGATTACAAGCAGGTTCTAGGTATGGACCCGGAATTTGTCTCATTTGGGATGAAGCCCGTTTTATCACGAAATGTGCTTTCAAAGTAGCTCGCCACTGACAAGGCGTTAACTTTTCTTCAAGCCGAATTCTGCATCAGATCATTGTGTTAAGTCTGCTAAATGAATATGCGAGAGGCCACTGTGTATTAACAACTGAATTTTAGACCGTTCATTTTGAGTTCAAGAGTCGCCTCAATGATTCACACGGGCTCGGTGACTTGATTCACGTGTGTTGTCTTAGCATATCGTGGACACACGGGTACCCTGAAGCTAAATAAACTGATTAATGGTCCAAAGCAAAATCAGTTCGGAAATCAGGTCAGCTTTCATAAAAATTATCGTGTCAACTAGAGCAGCTCGAGATCAGTCAGATCATTTCCTGACACGACTGCGCAGCGACAAACATCGCAACAAGTTTTTCCGTTTTCTATCGGTCAAATTTGTTTAAAGCAATGCTACTTAATTATTAAAGGAAAATCAGCTTTGCGACTTAAACATTTTAGCATCAGAAGGTTAAAAAGAACACGCTGTTAATCAGCCTGGGTTTCATGCAATCGTAGGATGTAAGCTGGTCGCTTGTTTTGCAATACGTTTTCGTCTCATTACGGGGAGAATTTTCCACGCTCTCAAAAGTGTGTTCAGCTGAATTTCAAAGTGTTCCTCAAAATTACGTGCTGGTAAATTGATTTTAGCAAAAAGCTGAAACAAAACGAAACTGGCTAAGCTATAAGAGCCCCCCAAATGAGCGATTACATCGGGTGTGGTCTCAGTGCTCTGCTCAAATTACACAAAAATGCTCCTATCCTGTTAGCCTGATATGTCCTACGAACAATACCACTTGAAACTGCCGGCACCTGGCTCTGCTGGCTAGGGTTTCCCGGGATTTTCTAGATTTCATCTGCGAGGCGAAAACAGAACTGAACTAAGTCGTTTCCGCGCTACTATATAGCAGTGAGTCAGCATATGCATGTTTTTAGTGGAGACATGCAGAAATTAACCAAAAAAGCCTAGCTATGGCGATAAAATCCTTGGTATTAGCTGTCTTCTTCTTGTAAAAGACCATGCAAGACCTGCCGTGCTACCGGTGTTCGTTTACAAAAGTTTTATGCGATGAAAACCAAGAAACCCTGCTGGCATGTAATATTCATGAATCCATTCTTAAGAGATCCAAATATTCGGAGAGCAATTTGTACTCGAGAGATGGCTTCCTTCCAGGTCTAAAGATATTTTTCTGTCAAAGAAAGGTACGAGATCTTGGTGACCATGCGAGAACAAAATGCGGCGCCCTGCAGCTGCTGAAAGTAACCAGGTGGGATTTACATTGTTCGCGCGCGAGCCCAGTGAAATTGCTGATAACTCAACTTGCAAATTATATTATGGTGATCTTTGTGATTCTACACCTATTTACAGCTTGCATCATTTCATTTTAAGCCGTTTCCTTGAGCAGCAGCTTTCCTTTTCAAGGTTTGAATAAAGAAAAAATTCAACGAGGAACGGATGTATGCCGATATAATTACTATTAATAGTGAATTTTGTTGCGTGGTTTAAAATTTGCTTTAAGTGGGGTTGCACATTTAAATGGCTTCCGGGAATAAAAGGGTTGAAATTGAGTTCTATTCCTGGCGTAGAATTCAGAGGAAAAACCAAAACACAGAGTGCGATTGTAGCTATTCAGTTTCGACATGGAAATAGTTTTTTCTTTCCGCGTGCATAAGGCTCTTCAAGTTTAATTTTCGTTTCACACAAGTGAAAATTATAATTACTAGCCGGCTGTTCTAAAACATTGTGCACGTGCTTCAATTCCACGAGCTTCCTGAAAAATTTGCATGGAAAGACAGTAAACAATGGACGTGTAAGCAAATTTACTCGATAACTCGATTGTTCTGTGAGCGAAGCAAGTTTTGAAATCTCCGGAGGCCTTGTTTATTTCCGTTCCATTGTCTGCGCAAAAGCAGTCAGATAGTCCAACAGGTGTCCCGTGCAAACCACAAAATGAAACAAAATACGCATTCCCAAAACCTCCAAGGACTTCAAAACAACGCAAGACTCGAAACAACCTTCTATTTGTGACAGATCTATTTTTGTGTTGAGCAGGATGTATAATGCATGTAGTCGATTCCAGAAGAGATGGCCGGTTCGCAACTTGAAAACAATAACAGCATTTCGATCGTTTCTCGGCTAAAAGATTTGCAAACTGTCCAAGATTCACGTCAAGGGGAATTCCACTCGAAAACATCAACAAAAGTCCCAAATTTCCCGCGGTATGTCATTTGGACTTCCGTGTGTAGGGTCACTTTGCACTTTCAGCACTTTCGTACAGGCAAGTGTCATATGAGCTAAGTAGCAAGTATTGACGATCACGCCACCCATATTTAGAGCCCTATTAATAATATTTGTGTCCACAAAAAGTTGGCTTCGATTCAGCATTTGTGTTTCTTGTCTCAGTAACGCCGAGGCAAAGTCCACGCAAACTGGATGCTCGTGATTTTAATGTTTTTCTCTGCTCCGTTTTCAATGCGGGTACCAGAAAGAATCACAACAGCACACGGCGGGTTGGAAACACTAGTGTTCCCGGGTATTGTTGTATTAAGGCATTTAATAATTGGATGCTTCGGAATGCCTTCGAAGGACTCAACTTGACCTACAAGATACGTTCTAGAATTCTTGATCGAAAATAAATCGTGATGTAATTGCAGCACGAAGCGGAACATTTGGAGTAAGGGATCGATCCTTATTTGGGGGCAAATATTTGATATGGTATTCCTGTTGCTACGCATTTGCAATAAAGTTAACAATACAAAGCGAGTATATTTTCCTGTTCCAGGGCTCATTAATGACTTCTTACATTGCATAGATCCGTAAAATTCCTGACTTAAGCTGAAGGCATTCGAAATTTCTGCAAAAGTGTCAACCTAGTGGCGCTACTAAGATGCATGTCTGCACGCTTTCAGTTCGCACAGGGTCAAAACTCCTCGGCGTGTGTCAAATTACGTATTGGCTTTCGAATGTGCTGGGAAAGCGGATGACGTATCGAACACTTCCGTTCGTTTCCGTGAAGCAGCGACCCAGAAAGCGAAAGCTCAGCCCATCAGACTGCATGCAAAATCTTTAGTTTCCGCAAAAATTGACTTGCGTTGCCGCTTTGTTAACTACAATCCGGCTGCATTCCGAGAAATTTTCGTTTGCACCGCGCTTGATCCGTGCAATGTTTACCTCAAATTGATGTTTTGAGTGACAGTTATGCTGAGAGCGGAGGTCAATGGACGGTTAGATTTGGCGCGGAACCGCATTGTTTATATTTTTAGTGAAATCTGACTCATGTTTTGTTGCCCACCCATTCCCAAGGGATTTCTATGGCTACACTGATTGGATCGTGGGCGGGAAGTGATTGTATGCTGATGTATGACGTAGTTCAATAGCCAGTTGTGAAAGGCCCCCGGTTGACGAACGTAGCAAAAGCTGGAAACTCCAATACTCAGAAATTGTGAGGGAAAATATTTGCGATATTCTTGTTCCAATTCGTCGTCAAGACTGCGATCGAGCACCAGAGAGTGAATCTGAGGTGTTTCATAAGCGATCGAATGTAGAATTTCGCGAAGCTAGCAAGTTTCCGGTAAGTAAATGTCGTTTTCACCTTCGAACGCGTGGAGAAGTTGGTTTTCTGTTGTGTCGTCATGTCGGCTCGCGCTACGTGTAAGCTTTGGGCTTGTTTACTCTTTCAACTTGGCTGTTGATTCCTCGGACGATTTCATTTCCTCTGAGATTTTCAGCCAAGATGGGAGTGTAAGATATGTGTTGTGTGAATTGCACGCGTTTTCTTTATCAAGGAAGCTGCATGTTTATTGACGGCCAGTTTAGCAGTATTTGCATGAAGAATACACACGCCGCTTTGGTGGAATTGTCGGTGTGAAAACTTTTCCTCTAAACAATAGTTCTCTTCGCCATGCAGAATGGCGCTCTTTATTGTAACCTTTGTGGAAAATGTGATGTTTTGGCTACCGATCTATGTCCTGAAAGAAAGAACCAAGCTTATTTCCTTGTTTCGTTTTTGCATAGGTTCATTTATATCGTGAAGCTGCTGAATTAATGCGTAGGCAGTGACTAAATTCATTTCTTTCTCTTAGGACTAGCACTGTGTTGTTTTCTTTGTAGACTGGTTGTTCCTTTTTTTCTTGCTTAAACGTCGCGCTGTTGAAAGATGCTCATCTGGCTTGAAACTAAAATTATTCACCGATCACTGCAATGTTAACCTTTCATTGTCTCGTGTTTCACGTTGAATTTTTCTCCATCGTTCAGAGTCTCCCTGTTTTTTCTCGTGACTCTGCGTTCTTCTGTTACATCATATCATTCGCATAAAAGGACAGTTTTCAATTGCATTTGCTTGTCACGAGGACTAGAAATCGTGTTACGAACGTGTTCTATCCTGCCGGGGTCAGTCACAGCCAACCCTGAATGTAATCAGTTATCGAACTCCAATACATACAATACGGGTGCTATTTTTCAAACGTGCCCAAATAAAGTGCGTGCAGAATTAGCGGTCTGTTTGGATTTGCTTCTTCAGAAACGGAACGTTGGAAAAATTTCAAGAAAATTCGAAGTTCAAGCCTCGCCAAGGTTTCAGTTTTGTCTTTCTTTTAAATAACAATGTGTTCTCAGGTCGTGTTTTATTGATAACCTTTCTGTTCGCTTTCTTTATAGTTTCTGCTGACGAAAGTGAATTACGTCTTTGCTTGTCCGCGTCGTTGCCTCGGCGCTCGTGAGATAACTACTATCGGACACGCGGGAAAAACTGGTAGCGTTTCACGGTATGTCGTTTGAGACTTTTCCTTGTGGTAGCCCAGAAGCTGAAAGCCCTGAAGAACCTGCTCCGTCGCTTTACGTTGAAAATCCCGACGAGGAACACGAAAGACTGCTTATCAAAAAGCCGGTGAGCGCAGAACCGTCCAGGCTCGCCGAAACGGCAAATATTGAAGATCAGATGATGAGCGAAGATGAAATCGCTCAAGTAAATGCTAGTGGCGATGCGTTGAAGCTAAAGAACCAAGAAACAGAGACGTCTGGCCAGACTAAAAAGAACACCGATGAGTCTGAACGGCGCATTGTGGAAGGCAGTAAAGTTTACGAGAGCTGGATTCAGTTAAATCAGTTAAATTACGGAAATCCGGCGCCTGGCCAAACGCATTCCGCAATTGCGATCGATCGCAAACAACAAGGCGAATTAAGCTTATCTAGTAGAATTCTAGATGCGGATCGCGCCAGCGTCATCATTAAAAGAACGAGTAAAGGGCAAGAGGAGGTCGAATCGGACTCCGACAATGAGTCACAAGATACAACAAGAAAGATCAGTGCGAGCGAGCTTCGTTGTGACGAGAATATTTCTGGTGTGGATGCGAACGATGACAAACTGAACTCACTCTCGCATTCGTCGCGTGCACTTTATTATAATTATAATGCACACCACGAGGATGTCAACAAACTCGAAGACAAAGGGAATGCTAAATTGCAGAACATTCGTGGTGAGTTTATCCGAGGTGCACATGGTGAAACGAAGGCTGTTCCGATTTATTATATGCCTGCTGGCACGTATCCACACATGGTCGCCGCTATGGCTGGAGGAAATGCTATCGGCAACACAAACGGGCTTCAAAGAGAGCAGCACTTTGTGCATGCAGGCACAAGTGAGGTGAAGCGATTTCCCGGTCAGCGCATGGATTACGTTTCAGGTAGACCAGAACAACAAGTCCCTGTGGCTACAAGCACCGTGAACACTAATGAGGGGAATGTGTTTGGTAACTTGCAGCATGGCGCTACTGGACTGCAATATGTGGACAGGCGTCTTGTGCATGCAGGAGGCTATGCTGTGGTGCCTGGTATTGGACCCGTCAGAGTTATCGATGGGATGTATTACCAGGGGCTTCCCATGGGGGGTGATCAGAACCGGTACGAGAATTTTGGATCAGTGCCTTCATTTGTACCCATGGGCAATATCCAGGCTGACACAACAGCCTCTCAACCGCAAGCTCAGCTGACTGTTTCATCAGCTTCCAATACAGATCCAGTAAACCAGCGAGGTCAAGAAAAGCTGCTAAGTAGGTGTCAAGTAGGCTTTTAGCTATTATGTCTGCAGATCCATTTAGATCTGTGCTAATATAAAAGAATTGTTTGCACCCCAATATTGCACTCGGTTTCCTGCCATACCAATATAGTTTCTGATTGTGACAAAATCACCTCTACTGTTGCACAAAGTGGACTAATTAAGCCAGCTTTAAATTCAGGACCACTCTCGTTAATTCTGTGTCATTGTTCCCCCAAGAGACCTTGCATGGTTCACTTGCCACAAAGATCCTCCACCTTTTGTATTGTTGGGGAATGTGACAGGTTTAAGCCGTGTGTTAATATTTTGCACCCAGCTTGGACTCTTCCTGCATGCAATGTTAAAAAATAACTCAAAAACGTTTTGTTTTCCTCTGTGCAAACCCTGAGATAGCTGTGATAGTATTCTGAGAGTTACCAAACCTTTTTTCCAATCTTGGTTGACATCTCTGTATGTGCAATGCTTGGAGAAGGGTTAAAACAATGTTTTCGCTGTGAGTGTTGGAGATTCTGAAATTTTATCCTGTTTGGTCATAAAATAACTCATTTCAATCAATTTATACAAAGCCTTCAATGTGTAAACTAACATCACATTCCTAAATTTTTCGAGTGAAATGTGAATTGCACTTACAGCTTGTGTATATTGATTTGAGAAAATATCTATGGTTAACTATCTTATTATTTGCATGATTAGTCTCCAATTTATGATGGTTGTGTTATGACATGAAAAAATGACAAATGGAGTTTGTCTGGAGGGCAGATGCTTCAAACTCATTGTGTACACAATGACAGAGACTGCTAATCTTCAGATGTGTTAAAATTGCGACAGCATAAACTTTCAATATCAGATTTTTCTGAGTAGATATGATAAGCTGGAGCAATACAAAAATAATTCCTTTCATTTGTGAATCAAATCCTAAAAAATATTGGTCTGTTCAATTATCATTAATTTTATCATTAGTCAGCGTAGAAATTAACAATTTGGTGTTGATTTCTTTTTTTTTTTTTGAGTTAACCAGAAAATACTTGGGTAAAATAGATCAAATAGATTTTAGATATGTTGCTTTTGACCTCAACTTTGAGAGGTTTCATCAGCCAAAGGAATTTTCCTAACTTAGAATCTGTAATTTGATACATGTATCTAATCACATCAGATTTCATTTTTTGCAATGAATTGTCTGCAGTGTGAATGGCTGTTGCAAAGATCCCATGCTTTCAACTTAAATCACGGAAAACATTACCAGCACCATGTGGTGTCAAAATTTCAATCTAACATGCCATTGGACTGCTGCCTGATTCAGAAAAGCCATACATTTTGATTGATGCATGTTTTGTGGTGAAACATAGCTTGTAAGTTTCATTTTTCAAATTCTGCAGATAGTACCAAGCCTTACACAAGCCCTGTTCATCCTGAAGTTTCACCAGCATCCAGCTTGGAGGAGAGAAGATCGACAAATTCTCCAGCTATAAAAAGCGACAGCAGTAGCCCGGCTCCCCCAGCTGGAGAAGACCCTGAAAACAAAAAACACACTCAAGCTAAAGTGAAGGGCAAGCCAAAGCCAACCACCGGGACTGCAAAACCAGAAATAAAGTGCGAGCAATGTGGGAAAACATTTGGTTCCTCTAGCGCTCTTGCAAAACACAAACTTACTCACAGTGATGAGAGACGATATGTTTGCTCAACCTGCGGGAAAGGATTCAAAAGACAGGATCATTTGTGAGTGAATACTCCTGTTCATATTTTTTACATAGTAACTTATTAAAAATATTGCTGATATTTGATGTTACCGGTGCATCCTATTGAGCAGATGTGCTGATTGTTGCTCTGATCAGAGTTGGACCTAAATTTCTTGGTCACTGTAAAGTATTTCAGGATCAGATTTTCTACAGCTGTTTTAACAATATCAACACAAAGTAGTGAAATTCAATCCTTGGGGATGAAATTATGTTGTTAGTAAAAATGGATTGTTTTCTTGGCGTAGAATATTTTGAGCTCAGAGAAAAATGTGATTTAACATGTAAATAAGAATGCCACTTGAATAAATGGTTTACAGAAAGAGAAAATTATGAGAGATGTAATAGAGAAGCCAGCTTGTTTTGACGGCAGAAGATCAATTAAAAAAAAGATTGCTAACATGCTTATGCTTGGCAGGGGGCTTTGCAGCTCAGTTACAACTCACAGTTGATTTATAAAACATTCATAAGGTCTGTACCAGAAATAAGATTATAACTAAAACTATATTAATTTTAATTATTCCAGAAATGGACACATGGTTACACATCGTGACAAAAAGCCATTTGAGTGCAGCTACAGCGATTGCGACAAGAGCTATTGTGACATGCGCTCATTGCGGCGACACCTTGAGAACCACCATACTGCTAATGTGAATGGCGTCAGTGATTCTAGAACACCTGGTTCAGGAAGTCCCAGCTTGAATTGCAGTGAAAAGCTACCAGCAGGTTGTAACAGTGTAGTTAGTAATGAGCGAGTGGACTCACCCAGAAATTTATCAAAACTGGCCAAGGGTAGACCACTGAAGGACAAGACGGATCACCTCCTAGTCAGTGGTTATGATAGCGGTAGGAGCTCAGGTAGATCAACACCTGGAAGCACCCATGAGCCTAGTGCCCCCCGTGAAAGGCCCAGTGATTTGCCTCTGGAAGGAGCAACATTAAATTTGTTACGAGAACGAAACAGTGACAGCTTTAGCTCAACTACTTCGGAGGATGGAGTTGGTCACTCTGCAGAACAGAGCGTACCAGAGAAAGTAACTGATGCGTCTACACCTCAGTCGGCAGTTGACTTATTAAAGCAGGCTGCCGATCGTGTCAAAGTGCAGCAGACCTCACGCAGTGCTAACGAAATGTGGCAAGAAAGGTTCCAGCAACAACCCTATATGGTGTATCACCCAGATGGAAATTCTTATCAACAATGGTACCCCACGGCAGTATATGCCCAAGATCCACGCTTTGTCTACCAGTATCACTCCATGTTTCCACCAGCTGTCTATCAGGTACCTGTTAATCCTGTCAGTGGTTTAGTTCCTGACTCACGTCAAAGGATGATGAGTGACTCGGAGACACCCACTGAGATGACAAAGACAGTTGGAGTGTCAACCCAGGCAACGCCATCACCCTCCCAAGAGTACCGTGCACCCGACACTATGCAGGCTGCATACTTCAGGCAACAGCAAGGTGGAAGAATTGCAGGGACCCCTACTGATCCTACTGCTGTTGCTGTGGCAACTGCTAAAGAAATAGGACATTACCGATATGCTGGGGAGAGTTGCTATGGGGTGCATCCTTCAGGGACCCAATGGCAGCCAGTAAGTACTCTTAAAGTCAAGCTGTTTTTTTCCTTTGTTTTTTTTAAAATATTTTTTGAGATAAGTGAAATCTCTCACCTAATTTAGTAGAAACACCTGAGGGGTATGTGGAGAATGTGGAGGTGGTGGCTTCGTGGTTAGTGCGCTCACCTATGTGCTGAGCGCTCTGGGTTCAAAGCCTGGCTAGGGACATCGTGTTTGTTTTCTTGAGCAAGACACATAACTCTCACAGTGCCTCTCTCTGCCAATCATGTATAAATAGACACTGCTGAATTTAATGCGTGAAAATTTATTTTACATGCTCATATTCAGACTGGATCAAATTCAAAACAATGAAAATCTGGTTATCACTGTATTTACTTAAGATTTACCTATTTAGTTCTTGTGTTTTTCTTGTCTCTGTTTATGATTATTGACTTGTAATTCTGGAGTATCACTGCAGTTCTTTTGAAAAGTTGTACCAAATTTCAGGCCAAAAGACAGAATTTAACACTCTATGACTGGTAAAGCCTATGGTAAAGCCCAGTTCCAGACTAAAGCAGCTGAAAAAACAAAACAAAACAAAACAAAACAAAAAAACAACAGTAACTGCAGCAGTGCTTTACGAGAAAACATTTTAGAATGCCAACATCTCCAAATTTTTAATTCAACCAAGACAGAGAACCTGCATGAAAATCACCCAAGGCTGATGTGGCTTCCTCTCTAAATATTGTAATTTATATTATTTTATTAAATATTCTACGCTACACAGAGAAAAGCACATTTTTCATGTCCAGTTCAAGGTCAACTTTATTTTAAACTAGCTTTCCATTTTTAGCTTTTCAACAATTTTGAGCCAAAAATGTTCTTGAATGATAGCTTTAAGTTTTGTTTGTATTCCGCCATTTGCAGATCTTTAATATGTAAAAGCTAAAAGCTTTCCATGATGTATGAATGAACACACTGCATTAGCTTTATCTACCTTCTTTTTTTGTGGTGTTTAGTTTCTTTGCATTGGTAATTCATCTGAAGTGTTGTCTCTTTTCTTGACAGTAATGACTTGACTATTTGATCTTGCACAGACATCATGTATGACTGTGCTGGTATATTTTTTCCTTTTCTGTGGGCATTGTGCATTTTAATTTTAGCATGATTCTAAATTTGTACTATTTTTCATGGTGTCATTTTAGTGAAACGTCATGCGGAGAGAAGTGTGTATGTTTTGAAAGCATGTCAATTCAAAGTCTCAATGTAACTTCAGACGAGGCATTCTTGTTTGTTTATGAAGAAGAACAATTTGTCCTTTGTCCAGACTTTTTTTATTATCATATCACGCTCGACTGATTTCCTTTGTAGAATTGAATGAATATTTGATTTTTAGCATTTCCAATTCATTCATCTTAAGATAGCATTACCCATTTTAGTCCATTCAACAAACCACGTCACAACTGCGACCTTTTGATCTATTTTTGAAACACCCTACTAATATGGATAATTTATTTAAATAGAAGGGTTTAAATTTGAAAACCAAATAGAATCAAGCTTAGGGTTATTAATATTCATGGCAAATTGAATTGTGTGAAAGGCTGGCAGCTGTTTCTTAGGCTATCACTTACTTGTCATGTCACCTGTGCAATGGACTGGCTTCCTTCTTGTGATTGGCTGGTTGGCTGCTGGTTTGACACTTGATTGACTTGTGTTTGTCTTCTGTGGCCTATTCAAAGCTGGCAAATTTGCATTTTAGTCAGAGCTTGAATGAAATTTTCTAGGCCAAGTGATCATGTGACCAAGTTGTGTTTCCTAGAGGCTGTTGTTTCTGCTTGAAGAGAGCCTTTCGTCCATGTTCCCCTGTAGTATTTCAACCTCAGCATTACAGACATTTCCTAGCAATTCTTCTTTGCTCTGTACCCTGATGGAAATCAACCTTTTAGCTGTTGTTCAAGGCTGCCAAACTGGAAATTCTCTGCAAAGCTTAGTGCTTTCCCAGAAGCAGAATGGTTAAGGCATGTATTTGTTGAGCTGACGAGCTTGCTTGTTCTTCTGTTGCTCAATTCATCACAACAATGTGATTCAGCCTGAGAGCTTTGTAATTTTAATGGTCTTCAGTATTTAACTGTACAGTGTCTTTTGGTGATAATAAGGATTTTAGATTGCAAAGATGCAAAACTGTTAATGATAATATATATTATGTCTCGTATTTCAGCTCTGCATTTTTTACCAAGGTTAATATTGGTCTTTGATCCCTACTTATTCTTTGATTCTGTTGAAACATGATAATTTTGTGTGACCTTTCTGGATTTATCTGAAGAATGGTTTGCTTGCTTGCTTGCATGCTCATTCTCCAGTTTTCTTTCAGACTGTGCTTGTATCTACACAATAAATTTTTACAAAAATGTTAAATCTCCTAGCAAAAACCCTTTATGTGTATCTTGAGGAATAAACAAACTTTGTTTTAATACCCACTTGTAGAAAGACACGGGATAATTTCTGTCATGTTTCCTTTGGCAATTAAACATTTCATCAGGGAGCAATATAAATTCATTTCACTCGCTACCCTTTCACTAAATATGCATACAATCTCACAGAAGTAAAATTCTTGATACAAATGCTTTTATTTATTGTACAACGGACTGTGAAATGTGTAGCTTTAAGTTACATTTAATCTCATCTTTCACTAGGATAAGATCTTTTTGTCTAAAGCAGTGTTATGGTTCATGTAGAAATTTGTCCACTCTTTTTGCAGTTCTTCTTAAGTAATATTATTATTCTAAAGATTTTGGCACAAATTTTTCTTTGTGTATCTGAGGAAAATCAGTCCTTACATACTACTGAATATGCCTCAAAAAGTCCTTGATTTTGAAAGAAAGATCTGACATCTGTTTGAACCATGTTAATTCTTGTGTAGGTTACTCTTAAATTTTGATGCCAGTGAAGTCTTGAAGGCCTCGTTTCATATTAACAAGTTTCACTTCATTTCCACAGGTTCGGTATGATGAAACAACTAAGGCATACAATTCAGCAGCATCCATGGGAAATGGTAAATCATTGTACAGTCATGCTATGACACCAGAGAGTAATGGTACCGCAGAAGGTGACCATGATTCGAATCATGTAGAGACACTTACCAGGGGAACAGAATTTAGAAGTGGAAAGCTAGATGATAGTGAACCAGTGGAAAAGAGGCAACGGATGTCGGAGGGTAGCCCTGTGGATAGAAGAGACATCAATGGGCCATCACACACTCATGTTAAGCTTGAAGATAACAATAATGCACAGGACAAAGGAGACGATGGGCTTTTCAGAAACCCTGCGCAGATTGTCACCCCGAGACGGAAACAGAGACCTCGCCCAGAGCCTCTCACCATCCCTCCGTCAGCCAGCACAACTTACTTTCCAAACCGGCCAGGCTCCCCGGTCAATCGCAGCCGACCATGTTCACCACCTTACACACCACCTCCTATGCTCAGCCCTCGCAGTATTTACCATGTGAATTCTCTGGGGAATATAACGCCGCGGCTGAGTGCATCACTGCAGCTTCCCATGACACCAGGCAGGCTTCTGCTCAGCAGTCACAGAAGTAAGCCATGTTGGTTTTGTTATGTATTGGTGCTTTGAATTTGTACTCTGAGGTGCGCAGTAGATAAATTTAGACATGAGTGTTACTGAAAAATACATCACTTGTAATAATCATACATAAATCGCATCCTGGACCCGAGTGGTGGAGTTTTCATCGAGGATATTGATGACATTGTTTCCTGATTTTCAAGGTCGTTTGTACAAAAAATCAGTGGAAATTGCAAAGGATAGATTAGTCTATATAATAAAAAGAGAAAATTAAACAGTGGCTTTAAGATACGAATTTTGTTTTCTTGTGTTAAAAATGACAATTTACTCATGTACTGCACTCATTTGTAAAATGGTGTTTTTACTACAGGAAAATAATATTCATATCTTTGTGCTGTCATGTGATACCCTCCACATAGCACTATGTGCATATCCTATGTATTTTTAGCACCTCATGGTAGTAGAGATTTCAACAATGGTTGGCCTAACATTCAAACAATACTTGCTGATCTATTGAACTGCTCTAAAGTGTGTCTTTGGCTCGCTAAATGTCTCCAGTTGGAGGAAAAATCTGAGATTTAGCATTTGTTATCTAGCTCCTCTTAAAATGACAACTGTGGGTCTTGGAACAACCTGCAACTTGTCGTTGTCCTGATTCATGGCACGCAACTGATCTTACGTTTTAGCTGTTTCGTTGTCGAGAAAGGACACATCTGATCCATACACATTTCAGGAATTATTAATGTTATAGACATCCGTAACATCAATGACAATATTTTGTTTTTTGATTCTTTATTCTTAGGTAGTTTTGATGTAGACGAAGATGCTGTTCCATTCCCTGAGCCGTAAGTGTCAATCAATTATATGTTTTTGTATGCACACAAAGGAGCATGAAATCTTACACCTGCAGACCCAGTCTTACACAAATCTGATCAAGTGAACATAAAATTTATGACATACGCAAAATAAATAAAGCTTGATCCTATCAAACAGGAAACGATAAATTATCAGATACTGCTTCTCTGAAATTTTCCTTCTGGTTGGGCCAAATTAACTCCAATGTGAACATCCCAATGAGCAGGACTGGATAGAAACTGTAAAACATAAAATTAATGGCTCCTTAGAATATTTTTTAAAAAACAACAGAGTACCTGAAATCCTTCTCCCTTCCACCCTCACTAAAACAATAAAGCTTATTATTGTTGTTTAATTTTGTTCACAGAAAAATCAATGTTGGTCCTGAGTTTCAAGCAAAAGTACCTCCCTTTGCTGGTGAGTAGTAAATTCACAAGACTGATCAGAATCTTACTTCTTCTTATACCAGCAATACAATGTCATGGTTTTAGGTGAAGAGAAAACAAGAAATCATCTTAAAATAAGGGATGCTGTTTTGGTGTATTTCCAAGTTCATTATTTATAGGAAGTTTATGCAAGCCGTCAAGAAAGGTTGTCATTCTAAGATTGGGGTCAAGTTTTGAAGTGGTCAGCTTTTGTGTGCAGTTGGCTTAGCCTTGTGTACATGTAGCATGTACACACGATAAGTTTCACAAAGTAAATTGCAATGTTTTCTTTTCACAGGTTCCAGAGAAGGAGTAATCCATGATGTACACAAAGCAACCATGTGCTGGAAACCAATAGATGAAAAGAAAAGAGCAAGAAGAGAAGAAAGTAAGCTAGTAATTACTTTTAAACTTGCCATTTTATGCATGTGCCTGCTTTTTGGCTTTTAATTCCACACCATGGAGGATTTGGTTAGCTAGAAGGCTATTGCACGTTGTTGTCCCCATCCCACTTTTTGTCTGGTGCACTAATAGTGCACTAACTAACAATGTTTATCCTGTGGTTAATAAAGTTTCTTACACACCACTGCAAGTAATTTCTAGCCAATGACAGCAAGCCTGACCTTTAATCTCCCAGTAACACTTACATTGAAAACTTGCAAGAAAGAAAACCTAATTAGATTTGGAGGTCAACAGTACAAAAGACCCTGTTTTGCTAAAAAACAACTAAAATTCTTAGGATGAGGGACTGTGCAAATATCTGTGAATGGCAAATGGCATAAAGAACAGCTGCCTACTTTTTGAGTCTCAAGACAGTTGTGTGTGAAAAAATAACATTTCCCACTTATTTTTCTTCTCTTCTTTATTCAGTGACTGATATGTGATATTCATCATTGTTTTTTTGTTTTGTGTGTGTGCAAATTTCAGTTGAGTCCTACTTGGACATGGCCTGCTCTGTTGCAGTGTTGGGAGGTGGATCCAACAAAGAGTATGCCCTGCACATCCTTCATAGATGTAATGGCAATGTCAAGGTAACAATAATGTTTATATGCTAATTCAGAATTAGTCTAATCTGGCTTTAAAAAACCAGGTTCTTGTCTTGACTGTATGTCATTACACCATCTTGAACCTGATTATCTCAATCCTCCTACCATCATCAACTCAAATCATTAATTTCCCTTGGATCTACTTTTTCATTCCTTTGCTGTCAGCTATTTTAAATCCCCTTTGTCTCAAACCTTTTGTTTGTTTCCCTTGAGAGCCTGAGATGGTTAGGTTTTACTGTAATAGGTTAAGAATCACTGAAAACAGTTTCTCTTGTCTGATTGTCAGGATGCTGTTAAACTGCTGCTTTGCCAGAAATACATCACACAGCCTGGAGACCCGATGTATGACTACCACTACGAAGGTAATGGCGTGGAGCTGAATTAAATTGAAAGCTTACAAATGTGGGTAGTCCATTAACTGATGTATTTGTGTTTTGTCCTATTGTAGGATCTGTCAGGTGGGCCTCTAAGGAACGTCAGGTATTCAGACAGAATTTCAGAACAAAGGGCAAGGAATTTGCTGAGCTTAAAAAAGATGTAAGTTTGACTTGACTTTACTATACATTCTATGTTATAAGGTGTGTGATTTTTTTTATGAAAGTCTGCACTTTGGTGGAAGATTATTGTACATGTACCTTTATGAGGAACTTATAAGTGAAGCACCAGTAGTTTTGTGCTGGCATGGCGACAATGTGTTCTTTATTCTAAAGCGTTCTGGTGTAAGATACTAACATAAATGGTATTTTTTCATTGCAGGTTGGGGACAAGAAAACAATATTTAACTGCATCGAGTTCTATTACCACTGGAAGGCAGCACATCCCGAAGCGGTACGAGGGAGAACTCGCTACATTGACTCTGATTCAGAGGAGGTATGCTTTTTATTGTCGTGAACACATTCAAGATGGCTGAATAGAAATGGCAATGACTGCCAAGAGCTTGATGAAGGGATGATTTTTTTCTCTTGTTGTATCTTAAATTTTGAGTTGGTTTGGCCACATACAAAATCTGCTTCAAATGAAAGGAAACCTGAAAATAGTAGTTCACTAAAAGTAGAAAAACACCAAAGAGATAATAATGAACCATTAAGGAACAAAGATGGTCAAGGATGGCGAAGATTGACACAGATTACAAACGATGTACTTGAAAGATTTAGCCTGAAGGTTTCACTCTTTTAAGCTGTACTGTAATTATTAAGTGTCTTTCTTTTCTTTCTTTTTTTTTTTAACCAGGATTATGAGGACACAGGAAGTGAAACCAATAGCAATCCATCTTATTTTGAGTGTGACTTCCCTCAGTGTAATGCTGTAAGTTTCTTTGCCTTGCTTTTTAATCTTTGTCGAAGGAAATTGCTTAGTAGCAGTTTTAGTTGGTGGTCAGAAATTTATGTTGCAGTACTACATCTTCATTCAAATGTATATGAGCTTCTATGTAACAGTAACATTCTTCTCTTAGAGTCTTGCTTTTCTGCACATTATACACTATCACATAAACTGATTGCCTTTTTTTTCTGACTTTTTCCTCGTGTAGAAATTTGTTTCGAGACAGGCTCTAAATGGTCACATACGTGTTCATGGAGGAAGGTAATATAATCTCTGCTTTATGTTAAATTGTTTTGCGCTGTCAAAAGTGTATCTATGTTGGTATAGTGTCTTGTTGGTTAAGCTGTAATATCAAAGACTTGTTGTTCATTGAAGCAGTGAACGGTAATGTTAACTTTGATGAANCCCCCCCCCCCCCAAAAAAAAAAAACAGCCAGATACAATATTGATAAAATTGAGTTTACACAATGAACTTTTACTGCTGTAAATTAATAATGTTTCTATCATTGATAAAGGCAATTATTGCGTTAGAGAGGGTTTGGAATCTTGGCTTCACCTTGATGTCCTCCAATGCAGGCTTGTCCACTTCCAGGACAATATTATCAAAAGTTCTTGAGTTTATTTCTGTAATTTTATCCTATTATATTCTTTTTCTCACACTATATTTTGGCTTCTTTCATCTTTTCAACCATTGGATACTGCAGTTTAGACAGTTGAGAGCTTGCATTTTGTTTCACTTCAACTTATATATCTACTGTTCCTACAGCTTCATGAAGCCCTCAGAACCAAGGCGTAATAAAAACCGGAACACCACTGGTCCGTCTGCTAATGGAGCAAGCTCAGGACATGTGACTGGGAGGAAGAGGAAGTCTCCATCACCTGCCCCTGCCGCAGTCGTCCCTGATTCAAATAACCCAGATGGTCCTTTACCTGAGTTTGCATGTAAAGTTTGTGGAAGGTTGGTAGCAGTTGATTTATTTTCTATACATATATGTACACAGTTCCTTCTGGCTTCTTCGGTCAGCTTTCGGAGGAAGTTTTACTTCCAAGAATGATCAAAATTAAATTTCCCCTTACAAATAAACTGTTAAAACAATGATTGGAATCTTCAGCGGATATTGTTCTCACAGTTTTACAGTGACTTAAAGGACCTCAGTCATAGTATTTTGAGTTATTTTGGCCACATACAAAATTACCTTTAAATGGTAGGNAAATTTGAAAAATTGAGGCTAAACTTTTCAATATGCGTAAACCGTGACGTAGCTCCTTTAAGCGATTGCAAATGAAGCCTGATAAACTAATTAATGTTCCAAGAGAACCCATCCCCAGGACCGTTGGGATGTGGCAGCAACTGAGTAACTTCAACACAGTGACTGTCATTGTACATCTTGAGTTTCAAACTGCTTGTATTGAGTAAGAACACAAAACACTTTTTAAGTCAGTAATTTTATTTCAACCCGGTTAGAACATCATACAAATAGATACATCTGAAATTCTCTGTATTCAGATAGTGTAAGGGAGTAGAATCCTGTCCTGGAGAGAGGTGGGGGGGGAGTAGAAATACTGTACTTCTAGTAGCTTCATGCTCATGTTAAAAAAAAATTGAGATAAGCTTTGGCCTGATGAGCCACTAGGCTACTGCGCAGACTTAACCATTTTATCACTCAGAAAGACCCTAGGGCCTTGAATGCTGAACTAGATCCCAAGTAAAATACTTAGGTCATTGAGTCATACTTTCTTGATTTCTCTTGCAGAATATTTCACAAGATAAAGAGCCGCTCAGCGCACATGAAGACTCATGTCAAAAGACCAGATGATGATGATAAATTAGCTGCCAAGTTGGCTGCATCCAAGAATCACTGACTTTAGTGATGTCATTCCCAAAATTGAACCTGTTCATTCAAAATATTAATTCTACAGTTTAATTGTATAGCATTATTTATGTACATGTTATAACTAAGTTATTCTTAATTTATATTTTTTGGACCCAAGAGTTGAGGTGAAAATGGAAAGTTTTCACATCACTGATCACTAACTTCTGTATAGTAGTCTTTACGTGGCGTTAAGAATTGTTGTCATGGTGACACACATTTTGAAATTGGTGCTCATTGCATTACAGCCATTGTATTTATAGTGTTAAATTGTGTTCTCTGGCACAAAGCGGGGAACTTGGGTTGGGGTGGGAAAAATAAGAAACTGCCAGACAAAGATTACTATTTTTTGTTATGGAAATATTAAAAAAAAACTGATTATTTTGCATGACATTTCGACATAGAGGTCAGGTCTTTCCCAGATCATTATAACAAAATTATAAATCCGATAAACCAGACATACACTGTGTATGCACGACAATTGTGTTGCAAAAGATCTGGGACAGATGTGTTCCCACTCTTTTCTTTATACCAATGCCGTGATTAGGATGTGATAAGGTCTTATAGGTGGTTTGCAACCATTCGCGAGAGATTCGATAGACCATATTCGCATTATTGGTATTTGACTGGAACTAGCTTGCAACTGAGGCTGCGGGGAATCTTTTCAAATGAAAATGACATCAGTCTCTCTTTAATGATATTCCCCGCATGAGCCTCCCTTGCAAGCTAGTTCCAGTCCAGTACCGAGAATATTGACAAAGATCCTGGCAGCCATGTTGGATGACAGGAGCAAGGAAGCTTACTAGAATTCTTTTGTTAATGGTCATTCAACATGGCGGCGATGACGTCAGATGCAAACGACCTAGTGGATCAAGGGAATTCTTTACAATTTTTCCCATGTTGCTTTCCGTGTTTTGCTAATTAGAAGACATGGGGAATGGCGGAATCTGGGAATGATTTACCTGTACACCATGTGTCAGCAGAGCTGAGCTTTGTCTTCTGGTGACAGACGAGTCATTTTTTTAAAAAAAAAATTAGAGAAGGTCTCTATTTTGTTTTATCATGTCTTAAAAACAAAATATTTGTTGCAGTGCAGCGGAAAGAAAGGTTTTGTACATAGTCTAAATTGAATCATGTAGAAATACACGTGTGTTGACAAAGAACCTCTCTTTCTTCAGTTCATATGGCTTGGACACTTTCCCAGCAATTGTTACCTTAGATTTCAGCCATGTCCTCTGGTAACTTACTCAGAAGCAAGATACCAGATGAGACAACTGAAACAAAGGCCACAAAAGTCCTTCATTTCCATTTCAAGGTTAATCAAAATTTACAAAAATGTCACCAAGTGTGTCACCAAGAGCTATTTTTCCATGAGGTGTGACAACAAGAGTTATTGTAAGAAATGATTGACTGAAACTTATTTTTCATTGCCAATTGCATGGTGTTTGTGTTTGAGGCATTCTGAAAACATCTTTGACTAAAGGTAGTTTCTAATGGCGTTGAAGTTGAGTGTAAATACTCGCGAGTTTTAGTTTGATTCGGACCAATCCCAAGGAGGTGACTAATTTAAAACAAGTTGGGTTAATCCGTTAAAATGTAACCTGTGTACATTCTAGAGCACAGAGAAAATTATGAGTAGTTAATATATGCTGAAAATTTAAAATTTCGTTTGCATTTCGTCGCAATGCATGTATTTAATGAAACACGTCCAGGACATTTTTTAAGCCGCATGCTTAGGCGGGCCTGGAAACTAAACTTAGTCAAAGAACTGGAATGGACAAAGGAACTCTATTGTTAGACATTTTAAGATGTTACGTTATGGACTCTGTATATAAGACTGTTGTGAATATCTCTGGATATTGGAGCCTCTTACAGAGGCTGGCACAAAATGTATAGCATGGTGTACATTTGCAAATTCTCTCTAGGAACTTAGAAAAAAGAGAGGTTATCTAATGTAAAAAGAGCTTCAGTGCTCTATTTTATAGGAACGTTGTTCTAGCTAAATTAAGATATTCGAATAAAGCGTGTATTTATTGGTTCTGATATTGGTGGAAAATTTTTTGAAATGAGAAGTCCATAAGTGGTATTCTGAGTGGCCCTCAACATGAGCTTACGCCGATTGCCATATCATAGGNCCCCCCCCTCCCCGTGCATGCTTGAATAGGTGAATGGTACCATTTATGCTTATGAACAGAAAGAGGAGCTATGGAAGTAAAGGGGGCGGGGGTGCGGGGGTGCAGGGAGGGGGTTGGGGGGCTGATGGGGCCACGGCATCCTTTTTTCCCGTAAGATTTTTGAAAATAGTATTGAGAAAATCCTCATTAAGTCTAACTTCCAATGACCTACTCCTTGAATATTGTAAACGAAAGTGAATTTTTCACCAGGGCTGGGAAGGCTTCTGCACCCACAAGGGTGTCATTATGCGTTTTTCAGCCCACTCTGAATTTGTTGTATTCTCTGTTTTCTGGCTCCTGTTATTTCCAATTCCCTATAATCCACTCTGTTTGCTACCCAAATGTTGGGAGGTCTGCATATTCTCAAGAGCATATCACAAGTTTATTGAAGACTTGAGGAGCAAACAAAGTGAATTATGAGGACCTGGAAAATAGAGAATTCTCTCTTCCTAGACTTGAACCCAGATCTCTTATGCTGAATAGTCACCGCGGTCACAGGACATAAGATCATAAAAGTAAACCGGTGTCTCCTGTTTTCTGCTAGGGTAGGGTGTCTTTTCACACGTCACGTTACTAGTGCGTTCTCAACTATGAATGAAATGTCTCTCGGATGGGGAAAACGTTCTGTCGTTTAGTAGTAATTTGTTTTTGTATATCACTTTATACGCATTTCTCCGGTGCCATGCAAGTCTTTTATTGCCGGTTTAGAGCCACGTCCTGGACAAAAAGACGAGTTTGTTTTGCACTTTGTCACGCAACGCCACTCTCAATGCACGTGACAATCATACAACGAAGTCACGTGAGTTAGAATTTGCCTCCACAATCCAGATAGCAAAGACCCAGGAAAGGAATCTCGTTCAAGTTCATTCAGTTAAAAGGTTAGTTCAAACTATATTTGGCTTGCAGATAAAAGTTGTTTTCTTTAGACCCGGCTTTAGGGCACAGTCATAGCCTGGTCGTCTTGGCCGTGAATATCAGTGCAGTACGCGTTTTGTCTGCAAGATTTCTGGACAGCCACATCCATACATGCAGTTTACTATGCTGGCAGGTGCACTTATGTGAGGGTAAAAAGGAAAACAGTGTTGATAAGAACACAGTAAAAATAACCATAGGTACAGTGGAAGTCTTTATAGGCGAAGAAGGAGCTTTCAAGGGCTGGATCATTGATGCTGGATGGTTGACAAATTACCGCAGTATGAGGCTCTGGGTTTGTGGGGTTTATTTCCCAGAGCCTCATACTGAGGTCTATTATGTTAGGCTGAATTTTAATATATCGAAATTGGTCTATTTAAAGGTGATTTCCAGTCCGTACTGCGCGGTCTCGACACCCTAATGTTTATAAACATTACGGGTCTCACTCGATAGAATGCGATGATGGAATGCAAATCAATGTTACCAACCACATACCTTATCTTTGAGGCCTTTCAAATGCTTTTTCCAACAGCATTGATTTTTACAGCTGCGACTTCAAGGCAACATTTTCTAATCCCCCTCCAGTCTTCCCTTATATATGGTGCCAAATTCCCCAACCCAGTAATAACTACTGATATAAAATTCCAGCCTCCCCAGACAAATCAACAGCTCAAATGTCCAGGGTATACCTAAGGGGGATGGTGATGTCGCTATTTGATCAAATTTGCTTTTATCAATGCATTATCTCAAACCGGAACAGCTGGGATTACGTAAGATTGGAGAGGGAGGGCTTGCAGGATTATAGCTTTATCACTTTTTTGCTTGGGTTGATTTTTTTAGGACTCCAGATTTCATCGGATGATGACATGCAAATGCATTTTAAATGGCAGAACAGTGACTCCCAATGCTTGTTTCTCCTGGCCAGATTTGTTAGCACTACCACTTAAAAATGGTCTTCATTCTCCCTGCTCCAGGGGAAAGCATTTTCAAGAGCTCCTGATTTTGACCCTCTTTCTTCCCCACCTTCATTTATACATAGCATCTTTACTTGCATAATTATTACTTACTCCAATTAATTGTGATCTCCAACAAAAGTCCACACACATAATAATAACAGAAAATATTGACAAGCGCTTTCTTTCATTTAATAAGCACTGGACCCCTGTACTTATATTTAACCACTTGCTGATATGGGAAGAGACAGCGACATCACCATTTTAAACTGAGTTTTGGTTTTTGTTGTTATTGTTTTTCATTTGAAATATGAGTTTCTTAAGCTTAATGATATTAAATAAGTGCAACCATTGAGCAACTGTCTTATCAAACAACTGTCTTATCAAACACGTGGTGACTCTTTTTCAATTAAAACATGGTAACAGACTTGATATTTCTGGTAGGCTGGAGAAGAAAAAATCATTATGATCGGTGCATGGAGAGCAGCTTGTGCTAGTTTCAGATTATCAAGCCAAATTCTCCGATGTCAGCATCATGGCTTGGGTACATCTTCTCATCATCTCAGCAAATTCTTAATGAGCAACATCAAAGAATCTCCAGCTAAGAAGATGGTGAGCATTACATGGAAAGACAATAAGACAGATGTATTCCCCTATATATACCTGCGAGACAATTGCCAGTGTCCAGAATGCTTTTTCAAGGATTCTAACCAACGCCTAGTTGATGTTGTCAGGGACGTTGACATCAATGTCAAACCAACCAAAGTTGAACTAAGTGAGGATAAGACTAACCTGTCAATCACCTGGCCTGATGGTCATGTGACCATGCTTGATGCTGATTTTCTGTTCAAGAAGCGGCTGCCAAGTGAAGTGGAACTAAAAGGCAGAGTCTGCACTGATGTGACAACTAGGAAAGTGGAACTTTGGGGAAGTGAATTTAAAAAGCACATCCCTCGCATGAAATTTCATGACATTCTTAACAATGAGGCAGTGGAATTTGAATTTTTGGACAGTCTGTACAGATATGGTTTGGCACTGGTGACAGACATGCCCACAGAAGAGGGGCAAGTGGAAAAACTGGGAGATCATATAGGCTACTTGAGAATGACAGCCTATGGGTAAGCCATTGTCGCATTTGCATAGCTGCAAGTTTCTAAATGCAGCACAAGAAACTATCATGTGACTGTATTCAATGTAGAAGTGTGAGTGTGACAGTATAGTAAAGAATCAAACCTGGGATAACATTTTTATAAGTATTTAATAATGCCGCTTTCTTAAATGTGATTTAAGTGTGTTGGTAAGAAGATGACAATTGCTAAAATTGTATTCTTTGTAACTCTAAACAGAGTGAATTTTTCCTTCCTATATTTGTTAGATTTTTTTTTGCTTGTCATCTTCTTCTTCTTCTTCTTCTTCTTCTTCTTCTTTGTAGCTAAGTTTTTAATAAGTTATCTCTTTCATTAAGAGTTTTAATAAGATATTAGTTAGTAGACCTCTAATTATATTAAGTGTCTCCAATTGGTAGAGGGGTGTTTCCTCTTGGCTGGCTAAATTTTGACACATGTATTGATAAAGTCTTTTTGATTGATTGATTGATTGATTGCATGAAGCAGCTGGGAGAAATATTGTCAATCCCTCTGGATGGAAAGACAGCCTATCGTATGGTACCATCCAATACTTGCTAGGTTGCCCTGAAAATTTGCATGTATCTGTTCTCTGGGGAGATGGTGAGTCTTTTGATATATTGCCATTTAATCTGTGAATTAATTGTACTTACCATTGTATTCTCCACAGGAAGACAATAGTGGTATCAACAAGACTGAAGGCCAACAGTGTTGCTTACACAAGTTATACGTTGCCTCTTCACTCTGATCTTCCATACTATGAAGCCAAACCAGGGGTATGTTGAAATTATTTTGAAACTACATGTATCATGATATGAATTATTTGTTGTTGGAACCTTTAATGTTATTATGGTCAGTGATGTTTAAATTTAAGTTGGGCTTCTGCATCTAAGTCTTTAATAAGGTGCCCAGCGTAGCCAGGGTCACTGGGTTGTGGTCCTGGGCCAGACATTTTACTCTTATTTTAGAAAATATCAGGGTTTTATTTAGAGCCAGGCACTGTGGAGGTTGTCTGCCTAGTTTGACTATCTAGAAGAAATTTTTTCGGATCATGTGTACTAAAGGCATTTATGGTCAAGTGTTGATCAATACTCTCAATCAATACCCTTGATCGACATCTAGATCAAAACTCAATCGACATCCCAATCGATACTCAGTCGACACTCTATCGACACTTGATCAACAGTTGGTTGTTAGTTGGCCAAGTGTCGACCAACTTATATGAATCAATCGAAAATTTGGTTGACTGTCAACTGAGTTGTCGATGGAGTGTTGATCGAGTGTATACTAAGGTGTCCATCGAGCATTGATCAAGGGTCAATTGAGGGTATCAATCCAGGATTTCAACACTTGACCATGGATGCCTTTAGTACACATGATCCAGTTTTTTCTTACAAAAAAAGTTAAGTTCAAAATGTTTTTTCCTCCTGCTGAAAATGTTATTGATTTAACCCCTGAATTATCCACACCCACCCCATGGAAGGTTGCTGGAAATCCCAAGTGAGTGGACTCTCAAAGCAAAAGCTGGATTTTGCAGAGGGGTGAAACCAAGAACCATAATAAGCGTTTTCTTTGCAGGGCCAGGATGTAATTTGTTTGTTTTCTGGAACAACACAATTTGCTCAGAAATTCATGTCAAGTTTGCAGCTGATTTACTGTCATCAAACTCCTTAAAGCAAGCTTCTTAAATGTAACCCATTTGCGAGATGTAGCTACTGCATTGCAAATTTGATTGCTTATGATTCACGGCCATCTACAATAATTGACTTGGTTCATATGTGGGTATGCATTTGCAAATTTGATGACTATAATTGCCATGGCAACTAGCATATGAACTTGCTTAATAATAGGGTAGTGGGGAAAGTGATAATAAAAATTGAGATTTCTTTAATAAGTCAGTACTGTTATAATTTGCTTTGTACATAGATACAGCTACTCTTTTGCCATGAACAAATTCCAAGTGAAGGAGGGGACAACTCTCTAGTTGATTCGTTTCATGTGGCTGAGCAGTTAAAGAAGGAGGATCCACATGCTTACGAGCTTCTTACCACAACGCATGTTCTTTTCCACACTGCTGGCACAGACATACTCGGTGAATATGATCTGGAGGGTGCAAGACCACTTCTTGAGTGAGTCCAATTAATGCTTGTCTGGTCAGGATGTAATAGCATTTTTTAAATATGTTTTTAACCAACTCTATCACATGATTTACAAGACAACAGATTCTTTGTTGCAGGGTGCTGACTGAATATGTTGTAACCTTATTCTAGACCAAAACTGTCTGATTTCTGTACCCAATCCTGTACTAAACTGCCTGAAAACCATACCCTTCACAGCGGCACATACCCGTATAGCTTATATTTTTGAGCACCCCCCACCAACCCCCCTCCCCCCCTCTCTTCTGGGCGACTATGCCTTAAGAGGCTTGTTGAAGAATTTGACACTTGCAATATTAACCTAAATGTTTATAAAAGGTCTTAACCTCTTAGTGAAGGATTGTCCAGTTGAATCCTTATTAGCCACCTTAATTATCTGGCTTGCAAACTTGATGTATTCTACCTTTTTTAGACTAGATCAAAATGGCAGACTGCTACGATGCAATCACAATGAAGGAACCAGACAGTGCTTCCTGGGTGTGTCTGCTGAGAAGACTCAAGAGATGTATGAGGCATACTATTCTCTGACCACACGATTGAAAGATCCTAACAATATGTTCCTGCACAAGCTCTCTCCTGGGGAGATGATAGTCTTTGATAATGACCGTGTCCTTCATGGACGCATGGGATACACTCTCACAGAGGAAGCAGGGAGATGCTTGGAATCAGCATATATTGATTGGGATGTGGCTCGGTCCAGACTGAATGTCTTGGGCAAGAGGCTAAACAAGGGTCCAGTGGCTAGAATGGACAGTAAGTTGAGTGTCACAGGACAGTGGTCAGTGTCTTAATTTCAAGCCCCCCCAAAATATTATACTTTCTTGCTGATTATGTGCCAGGGAGTATTATTAGCTAATTGTGCAGTTCTAGAAAAGATACATAGCGACACCATGGTATTAATAGTGCCTAAATTTGAATAACAATTCTTTATACATCTGTAATTTGCTTGTCTTGATGTTTCCAGACAAAGGATTTTTCACGTTAATGTGAGACTTGTGATGTATAAATACCTCTTACTAACCGAGTTCGAGGTCTGTACTGTAAGTTACGGACCGAGTTTTTCCCCCTTTGATTTATGGCCCAAGCGCAAAGTACGTGGGTCATAAATCGAAGGGGAAAAAAACGAGGATCCATAACTTACAGTACAGACCGAGAAGACGAGGTTAGTAGGAAATTTATTATATCTCTTCTGTGTGAATGATGGATTTGGAAATGATTTCTATTCACACGGACGCGGAAAGGCTTCAAACTTCTGATGCACCTCGAAAGCAAAACGAGTCAGTTTGAAACTGTTTTTAAGTCGTTAACATGCTTTATTACATAATTTAGAGTATAAGAAAGTTTAAACTTTCACTTGCTATAAAAGTTAAGAACACTTATCGATAAATCACGAAACAGTTTGGCAACAAAACCAAATTTTTTATTTTAACAGGCTGTACAGGAGAGTATGGCCCGCTAAATTGACCAATCACAGCGCGTGTACTAACTGAGAGATATAATAAGCATTGTTATTCAAATAAAGAAAAATAGAGCCAGACACCCATGGGGGAAAGTTGGAAGTGCCAAGGGGTTTGGGGGTGCGGGTGCTCAGGGGGAGGTCTCAAAAGCCAATATTTGAAAGGGAAAGTATGAACCTGGCTGAAGGGATGGGGTGAGTCAAACCAAAAACCCTTCCATGTGGGAGCCATGGATGTTTTCTGGAACTACACATTGAACCCTTCAGGTTCTATTGGCTTGCTTGGAGGGATGTGTATGGTTGACAAAGGGTAAACCCTGAGCTAATGAACAAAATCGAAAGAAACCAAGAACAAACAGTTGACAAATCATCCAGCAAATAAACGGTACTGATCATAGTAGCTCATAAAAATGATGTCTTTACTAAAATCACACGCAGTTCAGAAAAGTTGATCACGCTTAATTAATTGCTTGATGAGGTGTTGATGTTGTACTGGGACTGAATCAGTTTAATACTATTAGATAAATATGAGTATTAGTGTGTGGCAAATGGAGTAGCGGGGGGGGGGGGCGGAGGGGTGATAATACTGCTAGGTTTTACTTTCAATAGACTCTGGAACAAGCTTCAGCAATGTGGTCTGACTGTAACTTATAACAAGCTTTGTCACTTCAGTCTATACTTATCTTTGTCAGTTTTTTACCGATCAGGCCAGGGAGTTGGAGCAAAACAAATTTAAATGGTCAGTTTCTATATATGACTTTCTAAAAGTCCATTCCAATAATATTTCCATTCTATTAGTTCTGCCTCTCGCATTGCTTGAGGGCAAAGATTACTTGACAGTCGACTTGTAACAAGTCTTTTTTTATACATGTTGTTTCAGACTCCTAGAGTACTAGTTACTGTAGTTTTTTAACATGTACAGGTATATCCTGTGGTATAAATCAATGCACTTGACTGACAGTAATCAATGATAATTATTTAAAAGAAATTGTATTCATTCATGACATTTTTATTGAAATTTCTAATAAATAAAATAATACATTTCAATTTTACAATGACTGACATGTTATTGATTCAAATTAATTACTTTTAATAATGGTAGGGACCAGAAGCATATCACCTAGTCAAGGTGATAAACTTCTGTAGGGACTTGAAATAAACCACAATAGTGACAGCAACAGGGCCATCCCAAAATAAAAGGATTAATGAGCACAACAAAGGCTCTACACACTACCTATCGATTCTCTGTAAAACAGCAAAACATGGAATGACCACATTCTGCAATTTTGTGGTAATGTGATGGAAAATTATGTACTGTAGTATAATTGAATTATATGTATTCCTTGCAGTACCAGTTTTGAGGATTTAAACAAATATCAGTATTAAGGAATACAGGTGATTGTTTTCTTCATTCCCATGACCTGCATGGTGTATTACATATGTCTGGGTTATTGACCAAGTGTCCGTCTCGGTCCATAAACATGCAAAAAAAGAACTTGGCCAATATCCAGCCATCTTGATCAAACAAGCTTGGTCAATAAAGGATTTATTATATGGCTTTCGGGGATATTTTTCCAGCGGGACATGGCGGGTAGTCCCAAGTGGACAAGATAGCTCCATCTTGTCCACTTGGGTAGCCAATCACACTACAGGATTTGATTCATCTTGCTCACTCACGGAGCTAGCCATATAATAACGTTAGATCCTGATCAGTCATGAGTCCTTTTACCACTTATACATAAGCATCTGCTATGCTATGCTACTCATAGTGGCCTCAATTTATTTCTGGGTCAGATTAGGACTTGTTTGGGTAAATAGCACATTTACTTTCATAAATAAAATTGAGCGCTATAAGTGGACAATCTGAGAATTTCCACATTACAACCCACTCAATGCAACTGTATAAATAGTAAAATATTGATAATTTTATTACCAGTCTTGAAAAATGAAGAAGGTAGCGGTCAGGTCACATGTAAGTGAGGATTTTCTGATTAATTTTTGATGTAGAAAAACAACATTGCTTTGGTTTCTATTTGGCTGGATTGTGCTCTGTTTTCAAGAGAAACTAGGCTAAAGTAGGAAGGTAATACACAACAAACTCTACACAGTAGAAAAAAGAGCCAAATTCAACAACTTCATGCTTAAAGTTAGCCTGATCCAGTTAGGACCATTCTTTTGGCTTTTTCCAATCGAAGGTAATATCTATTATTATATTTTATTATAAATCTACTAGATTTCTATCATGATTGCCATTCTCTTATTGGCTACACTACTCACTATCTATTCTGTTGTCGATGGTGAGTAGCCCAGCAGTGTGGAGTTGTTCATAAAGGGTACTTACCATTTACATGGGAAAACCGGAAATTCCAGTTGGAAAATCAAATGGTTCGCGCCATTCTGTTTGGGAAGCTTCTGAAAATATGGGCTGTGATTTGAGTTGATGCTATTTTTCTGCTCTTTTAAGTCTCTCTAGCTGATATGGATATACTTTATAGCGATTCCTTCTCTCGCAA